TGACACCCTGGCAGATCCAACTTTCCAACAAGATAATGCCCGACCACATGTTGCAAGAGTCATAATAGACTTCTTTCAACATAATGATGTCACATTGTTACCATGGCCACCAAGATCTCCCGACTTATCCCCAATTGAGCACGTGTGGGATATGATGGGTAGGAGATTGCTCAATTTGCAACGTCCTCCTCAGACTCTAGAAGCACTTCGAGAGGAGTTGGTGGTTGCCTGGAATGAGATACCACAGGAGGACATTGACCACCTGATCAAAAGCATGCCTAGGCGCGTTGGAGAATGCGTAGCACATCAGGGTGCATCCACACATTATTAAAGGTCAAAGGGCTTTAAAGCAGTGCAATCATTTTGAAATTTTTATCATTTACTTATTATGCTTCATTAAGTACTTATACAAAATTTTATTAAAATAAAACCATTTAAACTGGGTGTTCGGATTTATATGTCACTTAGTATATCATTTATCAATTACGTGCGGCATTTTCGACGATTGTCTGACCCTCCTGTGAGATGTCATGATGATTTTTGGCTTGACCCTCCACCCCTTATCTCACGTGAATCTATTGTTATAGTATGTTTGCCGTTATAAAATGCCTGAAATGAGATTTAAATAGATTAAAATATGTCCACTAGTTGCAAAGATATATTGAATAACCGGTTTCCAGCTGAACGGCTGTTTTTAAAGATGACGGCCAAAAGGCATGCGTTCCAGGCAGTAATATATTTCATCAAAGAGGAAATCGCTAAGAGTTTTCTGCTGTACAGATCAACAGCAACCATTCTGTCTTAAGGCAAGGGATCAACAAATTGATCTGATGATAGGAAAGATCCTTTGATTCTGATACAAAGATATAGATAAGCAATGTGTACTTTGCTGACCTTTCAACCAGTTTCGGATTTTTACAAGGGATATTTTTGGATCCTTTTGAGAGACTGTGTTTAAAATTATCATTAAATTGTCAAAAACCATATTTGAACGTCTGGTTGGTCTTATAGTACAGAAAACAAGACCGTGTTAAATAGTATGCTCTGGGGTTCAAAGTAGTAAGTAGTAACATTTATTTGTCTCCAAAATACACAACCACTACACATAGAATTTTATAGAGGACAAATAAATGAAGAGCCCGCAGAAGGGTGGCCCTTGTGCGCGGGTAAAGGAAAACAGAAAATACTTATATATTAACGATGACGTAACACAATAAAATCTTTTTTTTTATTCTAATTAACAAATGAGTGATGTATATGGATTTGAGTGAAATTCCATATATGTAAGTGAAGTGTGGATTGGGCTCATAGAATATAGCATATCACAGGAAGTACTAACCACTAAAGGATTACCTGTGCGTGGCCATTACGTCCAACTGGGCCAAAACTAAACTTAAGGATTTTAAAATACAACACTACAGATAATTTAAAATTGGCCGCTAAGGCTTAATGACTTAACTAAGCTAGCGGCTGATCTATCTATAACTATTTTTTCGGCCGCATCACAGACCGCTAAGGATAAATAGATCTAATATTAATATCATATATGAAGGTATAAAAAGTACTGGTTAAGGAATGGAAAATTTAATCTGAGAATGGCCTACAACTTACAATGTATAGTTCTTGCCTTCTATGTACATATGGATTTTAACTCTTGGGACCACGTGCAACCAGGCTTTTATTTGTTTTTTGAATGAGTTTAAATTATTTACTTTTTTTTAAGACACTGGGATGGTATTGAAAATTCTTGGACAGAGAAAAATCCAGGACCTTTGTATGAGTGTTTTCTCTGGCTTTGGGACTACATTCTGAGACATCATTTTCTGACGGGTGCCATAGCAGTGTTCAATTTGCTTCAATGAGGACCGATTTTTGTACTGAAAAGTAATGAGATTGTACATTTAATAATAATAATAATAATAATATGTCTTTATTTTTTAGTTAAAAGAATAACAAGGAAAAAAAACTCAGAGGCGGCATTCAAAATAGTTGCTCTTCCATGCTACCCGCGGAAATAATACTAAACTAACAAATATAGAAAAATGATGGGTGTAATTAATACAACAAAAATGAAACTACTGTGCACTTTTCACATAGGATTTGACTCTATTTCGGAAGCTGCTAAGTGAGATCGAATTTTTTACTGTATCTGGCAATGAATTGTATATTGTAGATGCAACATAAGTAAATGACTTTTTAAACTGTTCAGTACTATGTAACGAAACATCATAGAGATTACAAGAACGAGTTTCCCTATCATGAAGATCCGATCTCTTAACAAGTTTGATATAGAGGTAAAGTGGTAGCTGAGTTTTGATAATATTGAAAGTTAAGCAAGCAAGATGTATCAAAAAGCGCTCATATATGTTGAACCAGCCACAGAGGCTCGAAATTCGTCACTGAAGTGGTCATATTTTTTCAAACCGTACGAAAATTAAATGCATGAGTTCTGAACTTTTTGAATAAAACATTTGTCTCTAGTAGTAAGAGCAGGCCAATATACAATATCTGCATACGACAAGGAAGACAATATCAATGAATCGCATAGATTCAGCCTGACTTTAGTAGAGAGAGCATTCTTGTGATAAAAAGTCGTTAATTTAGCATAAGCTTTTTGTAAGAGATGCTTAACGTGAGGAACGAATTTAGGAGTATTATCCATATATAGTCCTAGATTTCTACATTTGTTGCTTGCTTGTAATACAGTGTTATTAATGCAGATTCTAAAATTCTGGTTGTCAGTAACCTCACACGGTCTTGGTCCAAAAATAAGCAATTCAGAAGCAAGATCAGAATTGATACGCATGTAGGCAACATCAGCATCATCAAGTTTGAGTAATACAATTGTGTATCGTCTGCATATTGGTGTGTACTGCAAAATTCCAACTGACTTTTCAAATCTGACGTATACAGTGAAAACAACAAAGGTCCTAAAATACTACCCTATGGCACACCTCTGATAATACTACGAAACTGAGATACGTGCCCATTAAATTCTGTGCACTGGGATCTGCCTGACAGGTATCTATTAAAGAAATCTACAGCCATATTGCTTACTACCAGAGATTTAAGTTTCGAACATAAGATTGAATGATCTATGGTATCAAAAGCTTTACTGAAATCGAGGAAAATCAAGCAACTATACATCTTATTGTCACATGCTCTGAATAAGTTATCTGTAACGGTTGCAAGTGCGGTTGTAGTACTATGGCCAGAGCGAAAGCCAGATTGTGTGGTAGGAAGTATATTATTAGATGTAACAAATGTTTTTAGTTGGAAAGCTACGATTTTTTCCAATATTTTCGAAAAGGTAGGTAGAATACTTACGTTATAGGGCGAAAATGAGAAAATTCTTTTGGATTACCAATCTGTGGTATAGGTACAACTTTAGAGTATTTCCAGCTGGACGGGAAAGTGTTGTTAGCAAGGCAAAAATTGACAATATAAGTAATTATGTTACTTAGATAAGGATAAACTAGTTGAATCATCTCGAGGTCAATCTTGTCAGTACCAGATGAATTAGATTTTATTAACATTAATATGCGCTCAATACCTTCAATCACAAAGCGGAATGAAAATTTATTGTTAATATTACGATCAGATACATATTGGCTTGCATCAACGCCAGATGAGATACCACTGGAAGGAGCGCGATCAATGAAAAAGTTGTTAAGTTCATCTGGGTCGTACTGCAGACCATTAATGTCAGAGGGCCTTTTTCGGAAATTGAGACAGTCGATACCTTTCCGAAATTCCTCAGAAGATAATTTTGATTTTGACTGTAAAAATGCTTTCTTTTCATATGTATATAACTGTCTGACGTCAAAAACATTAGCCTCAACAAACAACTCGTTGGAAGGATATGTCTTCCTTTTTTGTATATCAGTTTAAGTATGTATTTTTGTACGCATTCGAGATTTCTGAGGTGACTTGAGACCACAGCTCCCCATCCAATGATACCACAGTTTAAATGAGACTGAACAAGTGCAAAATATACTGTTTTTAAAGATTTCTCAGTTAGTAATACTGTTAGAAATTAAACGTTTAAAAAATGTCTTGATTTCTTGGTAGCTGATATTCAATATCCTGAAAATTAGCTTTACAAGAAAAACTCGGTAAATATAGCTTCATTCTACTCAGTGCACGTCTAAATCGTTTGAATTGCATAACTTTCTCCTCATTGGACCAACCAGTCCCGTGTATACCCAACGAAAATATGATGTCTCCATCTCAATTTCCATAAACAAGTAGCTACTAGTCATTCCTGATTTATTCACCCCAGCTTATCCTGTCAAAATTATGAGGATAGAAATACAAATGCATAAAACATCTAAAGGATGTGATCATCATAGCATAATGTTGGCTGTACTACTCCATGATATACGATCTTTGTTTAACCGCAACCACGGAGCAAATGTTAATAATTCGCTGCCTGACAATTTTATTCAAATCCTCTGAAATTCCCCAAGATAAATCAGCATTTAGTTCTACCAGATAGATCAGGTTAACTTGGTAAAAGTTGCGCGAACTAAATTGACAGTACTTTCCAGGCAACAACTTAACTGATTTATTAACTGAGCATTACAATTGAATGTGAATAAATTACCATACACAAAAGGTCGATAACATTGTGCATGCATCTTAGATAGCAATTAATACATACATGCACATTTTTTAATTGAATTACATAATTCATAGTGTAAAAGGTACAATGTATGCGGTATTTATAATTTTGGTGTTTTATACAATTTTGCTATAATTGGTTTGCTTTCAAGTTGAATATGTATATTTCATGGGTTCATTATTAGGCATCTTGTGTCATCATTGTTTTAACGTCTTCTAAATGTATGGAAGGATTTTAACATGTAGATGTACTTAAATGTATTTGATGATAGGGGAGACGGCTGGTTGTCACATGGGTTGGTTGTCACAATTGTTAAATCTCAGCAGCTCCGCAAGATGTAGTTGCCTGGCGCGCTACACATCGTTTCCGCGTCCGCGTAGAACACTTGTAATCAGTACGAAAGTTGTCGTTGGTAGATTAAGGTCGCACACACAAAAATAAACAAATCGCCTAACCTGAGTAAATTTTTCGTTTGCCACATAATTTGTGTTTTCAAGACTACATTTGATAATAAAAAGGACTGTTGAATTTATTTTGCTCTTGAATAATCCGAATACGACTTAACGTAAGTATTGACTTTGAATTTGTTAATTTTGGTGACGCTATCTAATCTTAAAAATCAATTCTAGTGGGGCAGGTTGTCTCAAATTAGCGGGGGCCTCTTGTCACATGTGACAACCAGCACACTAGACGATTAGCTTTGCACGTCATTCTACGTAGGTATATGTATACAATGTATTTTTTTAATATTTTCAGGTTACATAAGCATGGTTCGAAATTTCAAAAAGAAGACTGAGAAGGGCAAAGCGCCGCCTGACGAACTTTTAAGAGCTGCTAGGTTAGTGAGATTAGGATCCTTAATAAGAAAAGTGGCAGCTGACTTCAATGTAAATTACCGTACTTTAACAAGATACTGTAAGAAAATTCCAGTCTGAATTACTTGATGATCGAGTTGTTGCGCCGTCAATTTCAGTTGGCTACATCAAAAATCATTTAGTATTTGAGCCTGAACTTGAAAATCATCTAGTGGAATACGTACTCAAAGCATTTGATATTTATTTTGGATTATCACCCAAGGAAGTACGTTGACTGGCATATGAATTTGCTAATGCTATTTCCTTGAAAATGCCGGAAAATTGGAAGCTCCATAAAATAGCTGGTCCTGACTGGTTTAGTGCGTTTCTGAAACATCACCCTGTACTGTCTATTAGCAAACTGGAAGCAACTAGTTTAGCGAGAGCCAGTAGTTTCAATAAAACGGACGTCAATGCATTTTTTGATAATTTACCTTCAGTTATGGAGAAATAAATTTGAGCTTCACTAAATCTGGAACATGTCGAACCTGGGATTACAACTGTCCAAAGACCCGACCGCGTTATTACCAGAAGAGGATTCAAACAGGTTGGTTCGATAGTTTCATCAGAAAGAGGAACTCTTGTTACTTTAGCAAGTGCAGCATCAGCTATTGGAAATCCCATACCTCCTTTTTTCATTTTTCCACGGGTACATTTTAAACCACATTTTTTAAATTCGGCTCCTCCTGGCTCACAAGGTTCAGCAAACCCATCAGGTTGGATGAAAGAGTCACATTTCTTGGAGTTTCTTAGATTTTTTGACCTTCATGTGAAAACTACTGTGGACAGACCGTGCCTGCTTTTACTAGATAACCGGGGACTGAATTTTGCCAAAGCAAATGGCATTGTCATGCTCTGTTTTTACCCTCACTGTTCACATAAACTTCAACCTCTTGACCGCGCCGTTTTCGGCCCTTTTAAGAAATATGTAGATACTTCCTGCGATGCTTGGGTTTTCAATATTTCCGGTAAGACCATGACTATATACGAAATACCTTCAGTGGTCTCTATTGCATACCCCCTCGCACTTACTCCCAAAAATATACAGTCTGGATTTCGGGTGTCGGGTGTGTTTTCTTACAACAGAGATATTTTCACGGATGATGACTTTCTTGCGTGCTCTGTCACTGATACGACAGATCCGGGTATCTTGAACGAAGCAATAACTGGACCAAACCCGGAAACCTTAAACGAAAAGGAAGTTGGGCCAAATCCAACCATCTTGAACGAAGATGAAACTGTAAGTCTGATAAATATTAACACGCAGGAAGCAATAGATAATATACGAGAGGGCAAGCTAATCAAACTAGTTTCGATGATCCCTGCTGTAGTAGTTTAGTAAGGCTGCATGCGGGAAATATAGTATTTCCAGAAAGTTTAAGACCTTATCCAAAGGCATCGGCAAGAAAAATAAATCGAGTTTCCCGACGTAAACGAGGGACTGCAATACTCACTGACACTCCAGTAAAAGACGAATTAGAGAAAGAGAAAAATAAATGCTCGAACAAGAAAAAGAGGAACAGGGAAACAGTGAAAAGGGACGTTTTGATTCAGAAAAAGTCCGGTTCAGATAGCGAAATTGATAGAAAAGAATGTTTTTGCTTGATTTGTCTCGAACCATTTTCTAACAGAGCATCAAATGAAGAATGGGTGAAATGCTCATCGTGTAATGGTTTGCCTCATGATGAACGCGAACTTTACATATGTCATAACTGCGATAGTGAATTGTAAAGAAAACTATTCTACTTTTTTCTCATAAAGATTTGGTATCTAAATACCAAATCTTTATGTCTTATGTCTTATTTGTAATAATAAATATGTTTAAAAGTATGATATAAATTATTAATGATCTAAAATACACGTGACAACCAACCCCAAGCAATGTGACATCCAGCTCCAGCAAGGGGCAACTTGTCACATTTGTTTCTGTATTTTGAAACATTCTAATTTAATATTGTGAATTATTTTACAGCCTTATCGATTTTACATAGTGTTCCCAAAGGATAAACCATATTAGTTATGCACCAAATATGTGCATATAACGCTTCAGATCGAATAAAAAAAAGAAATACTGAAAATTGTGACAACTATCCCCGGTCTCCCCTATCTGTTTCTAGTAGTGTTCTGATAATTTTGGTATACATCTGTTTCTATTTTATCTAAGATGATACTTCTGAAATATAGCTTACGAATACTGATAATATCTGTTTCTGATTACCAGAGATCAGTTGACTGTACGAGGGATGTCTTTTAAGTTTTGCATATAGAAACATAGTAGGCCGCGCGGATCGAACGTCAGTACTGAATCTTAACCTCACTCTTTAGTAAACTTAAACTAAAAGTTTCACAACAATACGTCCAGTGTTCTTACTACAGTGAATTTTTAAGTGTCACCAAGTCATTAGACAAATGGAACTCCATCGAGAACATTTTCGCGCCATAATTTATTACAACTTTCAGAGACAGTTTGGTCAAAAATGGGATTTCTATAAAACAAGGATCTATGTATCCATTCGCATAACCTGCCCCTTTTTCAAGCTCAGAATCTCAAATTTAATCGGTGTCCAGACGTCTAAGTTATTCAGCGATACTTGATATCCACGTAGCAACGTTGTATGTGCACGCGCCGACAGGTCTCAGCAAGTTTGTTTTCGAAACTAACACAGCCTACGTGGTTTCAGCAAGATGGACGTTAGTTTATCAGAGTCTATTATCAGTCATATAAACAGAGGTAAAAAACGAAAGCTCAAAATTTGACACCTGGAAGCAGACTGTAAGAAAACATCAGAGGGACGCAGGAAAAGCTTACATTTCATCGAGAAACATACCTAATTCTGCGTTAAGCCAGCCAGAAGAGGTAAGATTTATTAACAGTTAAAAGTGTCCACAGAGGATGAACATTATTATCCAATCTTTCATAGTGTACAAAAAATATTGAGCGTTTTTTGTGTAAGGTGTTTAATACACAATATGCAGGGTGGCCATCGACATACTCTTCTCATTCTCACTCATGGCTTGGGCCTGTGACCATCCTGACAGTATGGGATATCGTGTAATGTATTTTTTTTTTTTAGAAACTTGTCTGCAAATGTCCTCAAACCCCCAGAGTATGTAACGCCGATTTGCTCGTTGGAAGGCATGTGAGTCTGTTCTGTCTGTCTGCAAACCATATCCCTACAAGAACCTAAACGTAGGAAAGTTAAAGAAAATATATCTCGTAGACATTGCACTGTAAAGTACAGTATTAATGGCACTCAAGTATGTACAGTTTGTTATATATTCTCAATTACGCCTAGAAGGTTACAGTGGCTTATTGGTAAACTTAGAGCGAACATGAATAACCTTCAAGATCAACGTGAAAAGCATCTCAATCGTCCTGAAAAGTTGAAAAACACGGACGTAGGTCTCATTTCCAATCACATCCGATCGTTTCCCCTACAGGAAAATCATTGCAGCAGAAATACTTCAGCCAAACAATGCCTCCCAGCTGATCTAAACACCTCAAAAATGTTGAGACTTTTTAAGGAGAAATACCCTGATGCAAATAATATTTCCTTGAGCGTTTATCACGACATTTTCAAGAGCAAGTTCAATCTGTGATTTGGTCTAACCAAGATCTGACACATGTTCGTATTGTGACAAGCTGTTTATGAAACTTTGTTCAACTGATGACGCTAATGAAAAGAAAAAAATAGAAATCGAGAGTGAGATCCACCATAGAAAAGCTGAAGCGGGTTATAAAACACTGAAAGATGATACCGAGACCTCTATACTCAATCCTGGTTATACAGTGTGAGTCTTCATAAAGTGCACATATCAAAATCAGGGAAACTACACTCTATTTCATCGACGGATAAATCATCAAAAAAACATGAATTTGATTTTTTATGAATATATGAATATTTTAAAATTTTTAGTAGCAGCTTCTAGCCATATTGAAATAACTCGTTACAACTTTTAAACTAAATGTCCTATCATATACTGGAATACATTTTGTAGTGTTTGCTGGTAAAAGAACGTGCCTGAAAAGTAAAGAATTCCAGGAAAAGTAATGACATCCATTTAGAGTAAAGAAAATTTTGATGAAAATCTGTTTTTTGTTTCATCATTTTTACAATAATTTCAAATTTTCTATAAATATCGTCGCTTGTACCATACCTTTTTTATTTGTAAGTTATTCTACATGTTATCAGCTTTATAAAAGTAAAAATTGCACGTTTATTACTCAAATGTAACAGTTTCTATGAGTGTTTATAAAAAAGAGCCCATGCGCATCGTCTTGCTAGGCACCATTGTTTATCATGTAGATACCGTTTTTTTGGTGATTCAATGTAGAGTCGCGCGGGCTGAAGTACGAGTGGGGAGGCGGGCCCAGTTGAAAAACAACTGAATGTTGGGCAGTTAGGCAGCTATTTGTGTTTCTCCTGCCAACTTTATCAGTTTCGTTTGCTACATATCACGCTTTCGCTTTTTGGTCGCGATGCCACGTATAAGTGATTTCCCTCCGGCACACATTGCCGATATCCATTATTATTATGGAATGTACCGAGGGAGTGCTAGAGCTGCTTGCACAGCTTATCTAGCTGCATTTCCAAATTGACGCCCTGTTCCATAAGCCCGTAACTTCCAAGAAGTACATAGAAGACTGGCTAACACTGGACTTGGTTTGCCTCGAGATCGCCGCGAACCGGGTGTTATTATTCATGTTGCTATCGAAGAAGCCATTTTGGATTATTTTTTTGCTGACCCGACTACTAGTACGAGACGTTTGGCGTTACGTCATGGCGTAACCCAGAAATCGGTTTGGCGCATCTTGAGGAAAGCAGGGTTGCATCCATACCATTATCAAAGGGTGCAGCACTTGCATAAAGATGTGGATTGGCGTCCAAGGTGCGTTATGTCTACATGGATTTTAATAAAAACAAGAGACAGTCCTGAATTCCCGAAAACAATTCTGTGGACAGATGAATCTCAATTCACGAGAGACGGCATCGTGACCTGTCGTAATTTACATAAGTGGTGCCCAAAAGATGAAAACCCTAGGTTGAAAAGGGCTTCAACATTTTAAGTGAAATTTTCTGTAAATGT